TGATGAAAAACGGATTATGGTGAAAATATTGGCCAAAATTGTGCAGATCATGGGATCATTTGGCCAGAATTATCGACAATTTCATATAATAAAAGAGCAATATTTTGAAAATAATGATATATGCATGAACTATATAACTTAAATTAATTTTGCAATAATGTTTATATTGCTAAATACTATATAAATTTATTAGTATAATTGTTATTTATAGTTTATAATAGATATTGTAAATTTTCATCATTGATCCGTTTAGTATGTAAAAATTGAAAATTTGTCTCTATATGACTTATATTTAACACACATATTTTTCTGATTGCAAAGTACATGTACATGATTAGAACATAAAATAATTTTTCTAATTACATGTACTTTGCAATCAGAAAAATATTTTCAAATTAAATATAAAAATTTAATATATGTTAAAATAGAGGTCATTATCTTTAATATAAAAATTGAAAACTATAATATAATATAGAGAAATTTCAATTTTACTGTGTTTATTAGTAAATTGGTATTCCGATGAGTGTGTACATGTAAAAGACAAAAAATTTTGAATTCTAGTAAAATTCCGCTCTTCAAAAAAAACAATAAATTTGCCATGAATCCATATATTACCGGCGAATTTCCGAGTTTCGCTCAACGTTTATTCGAATCAGCACAAACCTTTATTTGATTTATACACTTGAAGACGTTTGGCATTAGACTTTTGACACTTTTTAGGTATTCTTGGACTTCCGATAATAGCTTGATCAAATCTTCGAGATTCTTTAATAGACTTATTCTAATACTGTAAATAATTTTCAAACTAGCCTAATGTTCACACTTTACAAATGGTTTAAGAATTTGCTAAGAAATTTTGAATATATTAGATGTTTATTTTAACACGTAAAGTCTAGTGAAATGAGTTTATAATAATTGTACAAGTAAAGTCTAGTGAAATGAGTTTATAATAATTGTAAAGTCTCAGACTTTAAAAAAATTAAAAAAAAGACGAACGCGGGAAAAGTGTTCTCTATAAAATAATCACGAATTTAAAAGACAGTGATGAAAACAAACAAAAAAGAAAATGATCCGATCCAACGACGAAGATTCTTAGAAAGCGACCAAAGCGGTGACGAAAGTGACAAAGAGCATTCCAATAACTTCGCGTCCAAAGTGATGATCATAAGAAAGAGAAGCAGCACTTGCGTTAGTATTAGTGGAGGAAGGAGAAGCGGCGCCATTGGTAACACTTGGGGATAAACTTCCCGTAGTAATGGTTTGATCACTAGTATCGCTAGCAGAAGCGGAAGGAGACCCAGTCACTGATGATAGCGACGAGGAAGTTGAATTGCTCTTGTTATTAGAACTAGCAGTTCCTTTTCCAGTGTTTCCATTATCTTGATTATTTCCTTTTCCAGTGTTTCCATTATCTTGATTATTTCCTTGTCCTGTTGATGAACCACCATTACCATGACCGTTTCCATGACCATTACCAACATTTCCGTTCCCATTACCGTTCCCATTACCGTTCCCGCTACCTTCTGCGTTCGCTAGCGTAGCAATAACCACAATGATGACGGCAAGGAATAAAGTAATGTAGAAGTGTTTCCGTGACATTTTTTCTGTTATTGTTTATATTTCTTTATTTGATTATTGTTATTTATTGCCTGTATTTATTGAAAACGATAAAAGCAAAAAAAAACTGTTTGTTATACATGTACTGTATTTATCGTAAAATTCTGACATTGCTTTCTATTTATGGTATTTCACAGAAGCCGCATCCATCCAATCAGCGTTAGACTTGTGGCAATATGGCTGTGTTCATAATTATGCACATTGTTAATTACATGTATTATTTATCGTTGTTACGTTACAATAATGATAAAGAAATCCATTTTACATGTACATGGCTATAAAAATAGCACACAAGTATTATTTTTCTAATTGGAACAAATCAAATCAAATCCCAGCAGACCCCTCTATACGTAAGTAGTCACATCCATTTATAGTCACCAAATTTGACACAGCTTATTTAAATTCGAAATCGATGAGACTATTTATTGATTTGCACGAAAAGATTCTTTGACAAACTTATGTTTTGGAAGAATCCAAATTCAACAGAATGATAAGGCCAAATTTCCGAAAATTGGCTAAATTTATTCCGAGCTTCGAGAAATCCGAAATAGGTGAATAACCAAAACAATGAAATTCGGCAATACGCATTGTGTTATTTATAATTCTTTTTGATTAGTACATATATATTATATGTATTTATATTTTAGATATCTATATTTTGACAACAAGCAATTTTCTAGAATTTGAACCGTCACATTTTAATAAAATAAAAAATAAGTTCTGCATGGAAAAACAATAAATAAATTTTATACATGTACATGTACGTATTAAGTTCTGCATGTAAAGACGAGGGAAATCTTGAGCAATGTGTTTAATCTCCGCACTTAATAGTAAACAAAAGAGTACGAAACTAGTTGTATACTTGTCTAAATTAATTGCACGCGTATTCATTTTCATTTGTGATACATGTATATGTTTGACAGTATCCTATTTATATCGGCCAGTGTTGTCGCATCCAGCGTCCCGACCAATCAAATTGCTGGATTTGCGTCCAAACGACTGATCTAAAACAAATCATGATCTAGTAAATTCAACATTGAATTTATGAACTTGACAGTCTATCAAATAGATGGTTTACTTTCTTAACGTAGTAAAAAAATTTGTAAACATTAATTTATCTGTTTTCTAATGAAAAATTATACAGAAATAATTGATACATCAATTTATAACAAGTTTTAAGATAGTAAATTAGCAAAGCACACCACCTTGAAATAGTGCTTCAAAAGAGCCGAGTCGAGCCAAATTTGAGATGGACTTGCTTTTAGGAGTTAGAAGAGTTGACTCATATTTTTAGCTCGATCTTGTGTTGGCTTGGCTCGAAAAAGCTCGAGTTCTTTAGAGTCCAAAATAACAAAGATAAAAAATACACATAATAATTATACATAATATGTAGCTTAGGTTTTGAAGAATATACATACAAACTTTTATATTTCTAGCTTTTGTGTACCTAAATCAATGAAAAAATACTCATAATATTTTTTTAATGATTGAAATAAATTATTTCAAATGCTTTAAAATAAATAAAAGTAATAATGATTCAGTATCTAGTTGGTTAACTATTACTAGAAATACATGCTTCTGTCCTTTTTGGCATGCTTTCAATAAGTTTATTGATTTTCAAATGGAATTTGTGGCTTTTTACTTCGTGAAATACTTTTAGTATCATTGGAATAATGAGTAACTGTATAATGAACAGTGCTGTATGTAATTTTTTAGGATCTTAGAACTTTTGTTAATTCAGAATTGTCATTTTAAATTCAAAGATTTTAAAGAAAAAATTTTGTTAACGTTGTTTTTTTAGATTACTAATTATGTAAGCATAGCAAAAATATGAAATTTCATGTGCTATATACATGTATTATATTATGTGAAAATATGAAATACAGTCAACTCTGGTTACAGTAACATAATCGGGCGAGAGATTTTGGTGATGCTATTATAACTAAATATTATTAATGAGTTTATCCAATAATAATTAATATAAAAAATTTTTTGTACCAAATGAAATAACCAGCATGTTATTATAAAGAATGTTATTGTAATCAGCTCTGACTGTACTGTAAAAATTTTGTATATTTAAATGAATTTTGTAGCAATATAAAATTTTGTACGTATATTCTTCAAAATCTAAGTTATATTATGATATAAATTTTATTATTATATATGTGCAATTAGTATAAATATGCTATATAGTGCAATGCATCTAAACTCATTAACAAATTTTATGTTCTAAATTCTAAAAATGTTTTAACTAATAAATACATGTACACGTACAAAATTTAATCTAATAAAAGAATTAAGGAGACTTATTCTATTAGTTAAAAGTTTATAGAATTTAAAACATAAAATTTGTCAAGTTTAGATGTATTGCACCATATCAAATACTTTGTTCAGGTCATATAATTAAATAATTAGTCATGAATTTATACAATCTAGTCACATTAATAAAATTTTGATTAACTTTAAATCTTTTCACACTTTTACAAAATACATGTATTTAGAAAAACTCTTCATATATCTCTAAAATAGTTTATTGACTTTCAGTTTATGAAAGCTGATTTTAGTTTGCTTGATTTTTTATAGAGTAATAGCAGTTCAAATTTTGTCACTTTTCATATATCACCATTAATTTGAGATAGGTCATAAACCACATGACTGAACAGTGTTACCCATAGCAACAAATCAAGAAATTTTGAGATAATTTGTGGTTTGGGCACTATTCAATCTTTTTCTCCAAAACCTTTTCAATTTCGTCAACAAGTTCACTCTTCTTGATATTTTTCAAAAAAAACCTTGTCAGAACAAGTACCAGCTCTCATTTACCTGACAACTCAAAAATATTATTATATGTAAACTTTTGCACTGGACATTTTTTGTGTTTAAAGATCAAAAAATAGTTATCATAGCAAAAGCTTGAGTTATTTATGATTTTTCTGTTTTTTTTTTTGCTAATTGTTTTGCATTTTCATATTATACATAATCTGTAATTTTATTGGATAACTATCATGTGTTCAAAATTTTTGAATTTGAGACTGTGATGTGATTTGATGCGACTAGGTTATATGCACTGTATTAGTCGTGAAATTTATTATAATAAATTCCTAATCAAATCAATATACTAATATCATAATAAAATTTACTCAAGTATTGATATTATGCGCATAATGTGAAGAGTTTGTGCAGATAGATTGTTTTGAAGTATGCGGGCGCACAGATTTTTAAATGAATCTTAAACACTGCTTGTGAGCCAAGTCACATCTCTGGCTCGGGCTCGTATTGATCCAGCTTGCCTTAGATAAGTACTATGAAATAAATGACTTTGGCTTTGCTTTTACAAGCATATATACGAGCTGGTTTAGCTCTTCGGAGCCTTACCCTGAAGAAAGTATCCGGACAACCAAAAATTTCTTAATAAAAATTGAAATTCTCGCTCCATATTAAATAATACAAAAATACAAAAAAAAACTTTATGGAGAGAAAATTTCAATTTTATTAATAAATTTTTGTTTGTTCGGATACTTTTTTCAGAGCAGTGTATGTGACTCAAAAAAATATTAAATTTGAAGAATTGTTGATATACGTTAAAATAATAAGCAAAGATAAATTTGTCTGAAAGAATACTTAATATAATATAGAAACTTTATTAATTCGAAAAACAAATATGGGCCGTACAACATTAATAATATGTCGAATTAGTCGGGTTCTTATTGTGCGGATCCATGTTACATGTATAAAGTATTGAAAATTTATATTGTAATAAAAAATTTAGAAATACAAGCGAAGACTGATATTTTACGAAAAATTATCACTTTTATTCGTACTATTCCATATCGAAGATACATGTATAAGACAAATACGCTCCAACTCTTGTAATTTATCATTTTTTGTGGAACATAACTGATTATCGTTATCGTTATACATGTACGTGTTTATACGTATGAATTGTACATGTATTACTTTATCGTTATGTTAACATTTGATGAACAATTTGTAAATAAACTTACAGTACTGTATATAAAATTAAGCAAAATAACAGTTCAATAATATATACAATACAAACCATTCAAGTAATGATGAATTAATAACATAGCACAGATTCTGACTAAGTTTGGAACCAGTTTTATGAAACCGGTTCCAAACTCTACTTTATCACGATATCAGAATCTACTTGAACGTATTATAAAAATTTAATGATATGAATAACGTTTCGGGCGAAACTATTTTTCAAAATCCGAAATGTTTCGCCCAGTGGACTTTCAGTTTCGCTCTATAAATCCGAAACTATCCGAACCCTAATTTGGAAGCCTTGCTATGAACAGACTCTCAAAAATGGTTTTATTCGATTAAGATATTTAAGTTTCCAGTAAAAAGATTATAAACATTTTACACGTAATTAGTAAGAAAATCTAGTCAGTTTAGTAAGAATTAGAAAATCGACCATCTATTATTTGTTAATTAAAAATTATTTGATAACATAGATTACACGTAGTCACATGTTCATGTATGCAGCTGTGGTCCAGTGTTCCATCGAGAATAATCCATTGGCAACACAACACTGACTGGATTAATGATTTATTACTATTACGTATTACAATGAGAACCAATTAACTTGGACCATTGATAACTGAAACATAATGAAATAATTGTATTTTATGAATTTGATAAACTTCTAAACTAGGAAATATAGAACAACAAATACATGTATTCCTTTCTTGAGATTAAATTTCCTTGTTTCATAACATACTGTATCGGTGTGTACAATCATTTGATGTACACCAGAAATCAAAAATGGAAAATTACATTGCATGATGTTTCTGTGTTTGGCGATCTATGGTTCGGAGTACGTACCGGTACGTATTATTAATGTTTACATGTATTTGAAATTTATCGTTATTATTATCTGTATAATGAAGCTTGAATTTTGAACGTAATAATTTACATTCTTGCTGCGCATTATAAAAATTCATTAATTACACAATATTTTCATTGCATCGGATACAAACGAAATTATCCTAAGCCAAAACGCACTGAACAGGTTTCTAGTGATATGTTCTAGATTTTTATAAATACATGAACATGTAGCCACTAAAATTTTTTCTTTAATAACAAAAAAATGTTTTCTTTAATAACAAAAATGTTTCCTTTTAATAAATTTCAGCCACAACGTACTTTGGTAATGTAATGACATGAAACTTATTTCATTTTAATTACGAGCTACACATTATATAAATTATAAATTAAATATAATTAATTTGAATATTCGTATAGACTCAAGAGCCCAGTTTTTTTCTTCTTTTAAGAGTAATTATAGCTTTCTCAGTCATTTTGTTATGGCTCACTTACGTTTATTTCTTGGTGGTGCAAATTTTAACTGATCATCCAGTGATTGAGTTAGCCTATCGATTCGAAGAACTAATAGAAGCACCAGGTATATTATTACATATTAATATGTATTATAATTCTCACTTTTTTTTATTTAACTTGCGCTTTATTTAAACGTTAAACAGATATGGAAATTTGCGCAGAAGGCACTATGCTAGAATTTCGTGATTGTCTGATAGAGTATCCTGATGATAGAAGTCACACATATACCAATTGCGCTAGAGAAGATGGAACTCTATACATTACTCAAGGAGAATATCAAACAGATAATATGTACTGTTATTTGTTTTCTGGGAATGGTACTCTATTTTATGGAAATACAACAGACGGTATTTGGAAAATCGTAATATATTATACAATGATCGATATTAATTATGAAGACAGTGATATAAATGAAATCGCAAGTATTGGTAAGGGCTTTTCATAATTTTATTTTTTAATATAATTAATGTACATCTTATTAACTTTCTTTCTTTATCTAAGATGCACAATTATTGGATCCAAATAGCAATAGTTGGGAGGATAATCTTAAAGTGCGCAATAAACTTGTAAGTCATAGCAATGTATTTTATATCTTTCAAGCAATATATCTTTGTTATTTAAAATTACTTCTAAATGACACAATATAGGACGAAGCGGTTATCAAAGATATAAATCTGCAAGGCAGTGCCTTTGCTGGACTTAATAATTATTCAACCATCATAAAATTTAAACAAAATACATATAGATCAATTGCTCAAAATGACCTTAAGAGTTACTTTGGCTTCGCAGGGCAATATGATGAAACAATAATAATGCCTTCTACTATAACATACCATCCACTTAAAAGAAATCCCAAATTCAACAAGAAAAGATTTTCTGGCGATCTTTCTATCGAAGTTGCGACTTATATTCACGAAATCTATACTGAAAGACGGTATGTATGTATACTTGTTCTTTATTTACCTAATTTATATAATTAAGGAATTTTTATTTTTTTAGAATACGTACATTACTAAACTCGTTGGGTGTAGCAGGAGGCATTATCGGTAAGTAAATACTAATATTCAAGATTGTTAATAATTTGATTTTCACTAACCATTTTTTTTTTATTACAAAAACAGGCTTTTTCGCAGCATTTTATTACTTTCTCTTTGGTGATAAGAGAATCAAGCCTTGGGGCTTTATGCATCGTATATTCAGCTCACAAATAGAACAATCCACGAACGATAAACTTGTCTTGTCTTCAGATGAACAAGCTGAAACTTATGAAAGACGTCTTATATATTTGGAAGGATTGATTTCAGATTTTATTTTAAATACACAACCGTTAAAAAAAGTAAAAAAAACTTTGGTTGGTGAAGAAAATTCGATATATTAGAATATTCATTTGGATGTATCGAGTAACTTATTAATATTTAAATATAATTAGTGTTAATTGTGATGTTTCGGGCGAAACTAGTTTCGCCAAATTGTTTCTATAATTGGAACTACATAAATGGCAATTATATTCAGTTTCAAGCGAACTACGGATCAGAAAATATAATAAAATAAAATATATTAGTTAATATGGTTATACGTCGTTTCGGAATTCACGTCAATTCCGAATTGACGTACGTCGTTTCAGAATTCCAAAATGACGTATGTCGTTTCAGAATTCCAAAGTGACGTACGTCAATTCGGAATTCCAAAATGACGTGACTGCTATACGTCGTTTCGGAATTCACGTCAATTCCGAATTGACGTAC